AAGATGTAGAAGAGACAGGCACAAAGGTAGAGAAAAAGTTAAAATGGATAGAGTGAAAGTGGCCGAATATGACATACAGTGGGGTCATGGTAGTTTGAAGTCAACTGCCGGTTAATAGATTTTTTGCCGTATGGGTCTGTTGCCCAAATATGACATACAGTGGGGTCATGGTAGTTTGAAGTCAGAGGTCAACTGCCGGTTTATAGACTTTTTGCCGTGTTAGGGTTAGATCAACTGCCGGTTTATAGACTTTTTTGCCGTATGCGCATACACAATGACATACAGTGGGGTGATGGTAGTTTGAAGTGAGAAGTTGTGACATATAGTGGGGTGAGGGTAGTTTGAAGTCAGAAGTCCACTGCCGGTTTATAGACTTTTTGCCGTATGAGTATACTTTGTAACATACAGTGGGGTCATGGTAGTTTGAAGTCAGAAGTCAAGGCATACAGTGGGGTCATGGTAGTTTGAAGTCAGTGGTCAACTATACAGTGGGGTGATGGTAGTTTGAAGTGAGAAGTCAACTACCAGTCAATAGACTTTTTTCCGCATAAGTATACGTTGCCCAGGGTGCACCACATGGAGGTTGTAAGTACACGTTGCCCAGGGTGCACCACGTGGAGGTATGCCGTTTGAGTATACGTTGCCCATTGGTTTATAGACTTGTTTGCCGTATGAGTATACGTTGCCCGTCAATGGGGTGATGGTAGTTTGAAGTGAGAAGTCAACTGCCACAGTGGGGTCATGGTAGTTTGAAGTCAGAGGTCAACTGCCAATTAATAGATTTTTTTGCCGTATGAGTATGCGTTGACCAGGGTGCACCACGTAGAGGTAAGACTATCGCACACCCCAAACTATTAATATTATGAAGAGACGTTTTGGCATAAATGGAAGGGGGAATTAATTGTTTCAAAAGTGGTATACGTGGGGGGAGGGGGGGGGGCCCAATAATGAACTTATGCGATATTTGCTTACGGACTCACCATCGAATCAGAATAATCGTGTTTTATCCACCAGGACGAAGAGCCAACCAGCACCAGAAGGACCGTGAATATTATTGAGAAGCCCAACTGAGCACCCAACGAAGTGAAGGTCTTGTGGCGCACCTTAGATGTACCCGTATTTCTCTCACTCTCTTTGTCTCTACCGCTATTAACTCCTTTTGCAATTTATCCCGTCATTACTTAACTCCTATTCTAGCCAGACCGCCTACTGTTCCACTGGAAAACTATACATTTTCTTATTCCTCATTCTGAGTTAACAGTACCCTAGCGGTATCCACTGAGTACTTATATCGCAACGGCAGAAACTATTTTAAGAAGTACATATAGAGCAATTGATTTAAAGTGATGCTTTTAATCAACTTTCCCCCAATTTAATTGGGGTGTGCGATAGACTTACCTCCAACGTATTCTCATACGGCAAAAAAATCTATAAACCAGCAGTCAACTTCTGACTTCAAACTACCATTCCCCCACTGTATGTCTTATTCGAACACTTCCACCGTACTTATCCTATCCTTTCTCTGTCTTTGTGTCCGTCTGTCTGTCTCTGTTACATCCGTGAATCACTCTTCTGTCCACCCTCTCCATTTTCTCACTTTGATGTGTCTCCTTCCCTCTCTGAACCCCGAAGTCAGCTAAAGGACTAAGTATCACAAAACCCGCCATTTGAAATAGATCCCCAGTTTAATTCAGGAAATATATTGGCACTTAAGGGGTTTCGTCTTTTGCAAATCTGGAATCCTAAATTTGAAATACAGTACGTGTTAAAACTCCTGTGTTGGAACATATACACATTTATCGATGAGTTCTTAATCACGAATTAGATACATCACAAAACTCAGTTTTAGTCAATGAAAGTACTAACTTCGAGCAAATCTAGAAAGACTCTAACTGATCGCTACAACGTTTGGTTCTTCAGAAAATTTTGAAATCCTCTTAGTAAGAATAGCGAATTCGGCTTAAAGGCTCCTCATTCCTGCCCTATCTTAGATATATCGGATCCTTATCATTCCTCAGAGCTACTCATAATGACTGTTTTGGCTCAGGCAATTAGGCCAGATTTACATCCATGAAAAAGACGTAGGTAATCGGTGAGTGATGAAGGAAAATTGTAGCTCTAACAGCCATTCATTCAAAATGGACTAATGTGATAAATAGGATGCTGAGAACGCACTTGACGATTACCATTCGAATATTTTCAATCCCATTAGTGAAGAGCTGGTATCTTGAGCCCTATCTATTCTTGGTACACTTCCAACAATATTGAGTGGTCAAGTCTCTGTTTTGTTAAGTTTGCCTTCTTCTACATAAAAATAGGTAACTCTGTTATGGAATCTGGCTCAACTAGTAAATCTGGTATTTGGGCGCTTCCTGCTACTACCCGGCCCCGTTATTATTTGTCTGCATAATTAGCTCTCGGAGTCCCTAAAGTAATGAAGAAAATAATGACTGTCTTTATTGGTTATTTACTTAACCAAGCAAAACAAAAAGATGAAATTACAGCGGATGCTACATGCACTTAAGCCCTGATTAAACATAAGCTACCCTCTTTGACAAATTTCACTCGTTTAAACTCTCTCTGCCGAAGTCAGCTAAGTCGCCTCAATAAGATCGAGGAAGTGCAGCGTATAGAGAGTGTATAGCAACCTGAATGAATGTGAATCGCTGATTAACCAATAAGGCCTCTGCAAGCACACCTCACCTTCCAGGGTGTTAGAGTGAGCGTGAGTTTCCTTGATCCGCCATGTTAACGCCTTGGTCTTCAAAATATATGCACAAAGATCACATGTGACGTCGCTGTTCACTAACCATATTTGGCCAGAAATCCATGATTTCAGGACTAACACTACATATTTCCATTTGCTGAAACGTGTTCAATCTGCATGGCAAATACTAGACCCACGGTAATATTGGGGAATACTTTATTCAATATTCTATGACTGTTAATAGGAGAATACGACTTGAAAAAAACTGGTTTTGTTAGCCTCTTGTTTAAAATCAACCGAAAGTGTTAGCTTCAAATTGAAAAAAAACGATCAAAAATGTGAGGGCACACGATCTTGTTTATCACTATTAGACTGTTTATGTCACGTCACGGTCATAACGGTTGGTGCTTCCAATCATTTCTTAAGATGCGAGCAGCCAATGAGTTGTTCCACCTAAATCAGCTACATATGTATACTTAGTGTTAGTTTAAATCCGACCATAATCCTAATATCTTCGTCTTAAGGAATATGCGTATTCCACCGCTTCTTATCTTTTATCTAGCTAGTGTAGTTTACAAAAATAAATTGCTTGATAACCCGTTGGAGGATATTGTGGACTATGTGAATAACAAGGCAAGTAGTTGAAGACCAAATGATTATATGTGAAATAGGAACCTTTTGTTGATAGTCTGCTTTGGTGTATACTCTACTACTTTGAGCTTTAAGTAACTGAGTTATATGTATGTATGTGAGTATAATCTTACGAACAACTCTCTCAAAAACCCCTATTATCTCTTTTTATAAGCTGTTTCTATATGAAAAGTTTACCAAGAGAAAAGGCATATAATAATTTGTTCACTCAAGTAGGCAAATACAACATGGAAGGCCGGTAATAATACGCGATTCCGTGATGCTTTATCCTCTAAAACACAAATGGGCACCATACTCAATGCCAGAAGGTCTTCTCTTCGAACGAAGTCTTATCATTTATCTGAAGAAGAACAGGCGGCCCTGCCTCCAGAATTCGACGCTCGAAAAGTCTGGTTGAAGTGCACCACTATAGGAGAAATCCGAGATCAAGGAAATTGTGGATCCTGTTGGGTATTCCATATTATCTTACACTCACTACTTATTTATTATCAATAGAATTTGCTACTTTATTCAACTTTATAGGCTTTTGGAGCGGTTGAAGCAATATCTGATAGAATATGCATTCATTCAAATGGAACTGAAATTTTGAGGATATCAGCCGATGATCTGGTCACCTGCTGTGGCTTTAAATGTGGCTTCGGTTGCAATGGGGGCATCCCCGAAAACGCCTGGAAATACTGGGCTAAAAATGGAATTGTGACAGGAGGCCTCTATGATAGCCATGACGGATGCCGCCCATATGAAATTCCACCTTGTGAACATCACACCAATGGAAATTTACCCGATTGTCACGGAAACGCAAGAACCCCGAAATGTTTGAGAAAATGTGTGGATGGCTATGGTGTGCAGTACGATGCAGATAAGCATTTTGGTAATAATTCAAATTAACCCGTAAAGCCATTGATGTCATATATTGGCAATGTAATGACTTATCCTTTTAGCTGAGAGCGTATACAACGTTAGAGCAAACGAAGTGGATATAATGAAGGAAATAATGACAAATGGGCCCGTTGAGGCGAGCTTCACTGTGTATGCCGATTTCTTGACATACCACTCAGGTGTCTATCAGCATGTGAAGGGTGGATTTCTAGGAGGTCACGCGGTGAAGATGCTTGGATGGGGAGAAGAGAATGGGACAAAGTATTGGCTTTGTGCAAACTCTTGGAACTCAGATTGGGGAGATAAAGGTTTCTTCAAAATTCTTCGTGGACATAACCACTGTGGAATTGAGAGTGATATTAATGGTGGAATTCCAAAACTTCGAAAATGAAAAAAATAATAATAACACATTAAATATGTTCTTTACTCCTCATTTAATTTTGAAATTATAAACTGTGTTCGTGTACGCGACATTTATCCAAAGAATACAATCTTCCCTTATCACTGATATCGCTTTTTGTACGAAGTTTTATTCATAATATGAAAATTCATACAATTGAGTTTCTTCTTACAAATTACTAATAGAGAGAGAGAGAGAGTAAGTGGCTATCAAATACGAATTTGTTGCGGATTGCTACACTGGTAAAGCCTTGAGTGACAAAGAAATCACTCTGGCAGATTCCCCTATACCTAGCTAGACTCCCAGAACTAGCTAAGCTACAGTCCAGGTATAGAGGAAAACCCATTTATTTAAGAAGTATATTGTGGTATAAGTGTACACTCCGTAAGGTTAGTCATAATCAACATTTCGGATTCGCCTAAACAAACGAAGAATACTGACTGGCCATTAATTGTGCCCGCAAGCGATCACGTGTTAGACGGAGAGTGTCCCCCAAAATAATGCTAATTCTAACACATAAAAAGACAAAAAATTGGCAATAACAACAAAAGCTTTCTAATAACATGCAATAAATAAAGGGAAAAAGTAATTTGGCTATGCTATACATAAATTAACATCAAATGATTTCACAGCGAGTCCAAGAAGAATTCCAAATATTAGATTTATTTGAAACCGTATTCAAACCCGATATAATAAATTAAATAATTCTTAATCGTTAAATACTTAAATTACATAGACGGGAATTTGTGACACGTATGAAACTCAATAGTTTTAAATAACTAAACTGTATTCTGCGCATTTGATATCAAGGTAAATGGTATTCTGTCTTTCTGTTTGTCATTTTATTTATTTTCAAATAATATGTTCACATTTACTTCTTGTCTTAATTACACACGCGTAATTTTTCAAAATGAATTTGTTGATCTCACGAATCGCTGTTGAACTTTAAATAACAGGTTTGTCGTTATGGAAAAACCGGGAGATGGTGTTCTTGACGAATTTGAACGCCAGTGTGATGTAAGGTTGTGGTATTTATTCACTTTTTTCTGTAGAATTTGCTTTTGTCACTGTCATCAATGGACTTCTCGCCCCAGTCAAATTTTGCCGAATGCCGTTTCGGTGAATATTTCAATATATACATTCTTTACAACTCTCATGCTTATTTTACGCTCTATATTTTATTAGGTGATGTTTCTGAAAATTTCATTGAATCGTGTCGTGACTTGGATTCTTGGTTTACTTGCAAGCGTTTCATTATTAATACCAAATTTCCAGAATATGAACTCACTAATGTATGCTTCTAGCATAATCATAACGACTTTTTCAGGAAATTAATAGGTTACGAAAAGAATTGGAAGACAAACAAACGTATTTGAACTATTTGCGAGGGAAGATCTCAGCTTACGTTTCCTCTATTGACGTTATCACTGAAAAGGTAATTTATTTTCGAATTTTCCTAAGTTATTATTTAGCTATCGGATGGGGTAGCTTATGTGCCTGATGTGTAGCTTTGGACAATTCTTTTGACTTTTATATCAATATCAGTAAATATTGTGTACTATTTAGCGACTTCTATTTGTCATTTGGGTTTTCCCATTAATTGACTTCCTAAATGTTACAATTCTTTTGTTGCATAAATTTGTTTTTGAGACTGAAACGATAGGATATAGATGTTATTCATCTATGCTATTCATGTCTGCATCATTCATAGATGTTGGCGAATGACCACGGCGTGTAGAAATGTTTGAAATCTCTTCCCAATCTCCGCTGAACATGTTATTTGGCTCACTCTGCTGCTCTGATCCGCATTGAGCTGCTTATAAGAAACTACTTTCTATGCATCTGTATCGAGAAACTCCCATTCGGTCAGCTTTCTTCAATCAGTTGTTGCGACAATGGTAGTGTCCGCTATCAAGCAAATGGACATTACTGGTAGATCGCAAGCGGGAAAAAATTGTGGTAGAATGCGTCGATTGAGTTAAATGGAAGCTGAAATGCATTTAATCGAACAGTTGTCCTTATTGCGATCCACTTTCTCGTTTTTAATAGAGTGTGGTTAACAATTCCTCATTCTATTAATTAACTGATCTGGAATGCACTTATTATTCAGGTAAATAAAGCCGTTTTTATGAGCCCCTTACTGGCTCATGCTACAAAATAGAGTAATGCTATTTTTATTTCGTCTAGCATCGTATTTCAGAGAGAGCAAAAGGTGAACTTGTATGCAAGCACTTCTCTCGGTGGCCGCAATAAAAATTATCCAAATCCCTTAAATGATGAAAAAAGAATAAAATTACTTTAAACCGACTCATAGCATATCTTATTGTTGAAGTTAATGAATGGTTTTCACCGCATATATCAAGCACCTTGAAGGGCAAGAAAACATTTATTTATATCAAATGGTAGGCGTTTGATAGTTATTGTTAGCCCTTTAGTTGACTTCAGGCTTCACCGAGGGAGGAGAACATCAAATCGAAAAAAAGTCGAGAGGGGGGGCAGAAGAGTGTTTCAAAGATGT